CTGTACGCCAGTGTATGAGAAATAGTATTAAACTCTATTTAATAGGTTCTGTCGTTATATTGAAGTCTCTAATATTGAAATACCTGTTGTCTGTGTGTGGTATTGGATGTGGAAATCCTTTTTCATGGAATTCAATAGAATATTGTTCGCAAAAATTAATTTAATTTTTTTGCTCTCTTAATGAATACGAGACACTCGACTCTTGTCTCATACAAAGCAATTTGTGTGTGTTTTGCTAGTTTTGAAAGGATTTCCTATAAATCACCTATTGGTGAACTAACACATTCAGTATATTACCAGGATTCTGGAATAATGGTGTAAATAGTTCTCAGAATTATTCTTATTATTCTTAAGATGTCTGACAAACAAGAGCCGGAAGTCTAATCAAATCTTTTATATTTTTAATATCGTGCATATTGTTGAGCATAATAGATATATAATTTATAATGTTATTCAATTCACAGAATATTCTGCTATATTTCAATGTCAATGACGTGTGTAGATAGGTTTCTAGGGATTCACCATAAGCATACCTGTGCCGTTACACGCACTCTATATAATAAACAGTTGTGTACACCAATGATAATCGATTTATCAAATAGCAAAATAAATCAAGAAAATAAATATATAAGAAATAAATATTGAGAAAATGTTTTTGTTTTCCTATTGTTTTTCTCAAGAATTTCCGAGAAATATCTTTTTATTTCTTATTTGTATATGAAATCGGAAATTGAAAATTAAATTCTTAATGTGTTTTTAATATAGAATTTTTTAATTTACAAAAATATTTTTTATTTTGTTTAACATTTAACAAATAAATTATTATTGTTATTTTGTTATTACTATGTTAAGATGTATTTTTAAAGTTCACTGAAAATATAATTATTTATGGGAATAATATTATTCCTATTTTGTATATTTGTTGAAATGAAAATATGTATATTTGTGTTTATTTAATATTATTATTATTACTATAAATATTACTATTAATACGACTAAAAACGAGAAAAATAAAGTGTCATTTGAAATGACAAATGTCAAACGACTACATATGATAACTTTTCAGTTCAAAAGTCAAATAAAGACGTATTTTTAATGAATATTTATTTGTATAAATATTTTCAAGAATCGTATTAAAATAAAAATTTATTTTTCACACTATTTTACACAATGTGTGTCAATAGTGTGTGTGTTGGAGAAAAACACAAATATTTTTGTGTTTATTTTATTTGTCAAGAATAATAAGGAATATTCTTTGAATTTAGTGCCAAATAATAATATTTTACTCTTTTATTCTTCACATTTTTGTTGTTGTGATACAAATATTAAAACAAATATTTGTCTAGAAATTATTACACTATTAATAGAATAGAGATATTATTCCGCTTTAATACCAATTATTAATATATTCTTGTTATTTTGTGTTTAAATCATTTTAAATACTTTTTGTATTTAATATCATATTGTGGCTAGCCCCAGGCTAATTAGCACGGAATTTCCATGTAATTCATCAGGTGGTATTGTTTTTGCTTGCACATATTTTAGCTACAACTTGTTATGCATTTATTCTTTATGAATTAATTCTAGGTATATGAACAATAAGTTAAAGTTTACTTATTACAGTATTATTTATGAAAATTGAGATGATTTCTTGGAAAATCGTTTTATTCGTGTAAATATATTCAAAAGTTAATTTTTAATTACATATTTTATTTGCAAAACATTATTGAAGATTTGTGTTAATGTTTTGTACTATTAATTGTTTAAGTTTCTGAAAACATTTATCACAAAAAACTACTCTTAATTATTAGGACTTAATAATTAATTTCATAATTATTATGGCAATAATTTATCGCAAAAAAACATGTCTAACTTTTTTGTGGGTATACAATACCTGTACCATATTTTGCATAACTTAATAACTGACCAGAGGTCAGGGGGTCATTAAATATATTTATAAATAAAACAATTGTGTTTCATATTAGAAATATGCAAAATTGTGTTATAGTCAAAATTAAAATGTGTTAAAAATTGTACAAATTATTTGAACACTTTAAGGGAGGTTTGGACAGAGTTGGGGACACTTGTGTTGATAGTACCGTACGAGATCTGTTTACTGTCCAGTAGGCCCTCCCTTTTCCTATAATACATGTAGTATACATAACTCGATAGTAAACATGTTGTGCCAAATAGTGAACAAATTATGGCTAATATTATTGTCACGAGAATCGTCTCGCCGGGAGTTATATCTATCAATAAATTCATACATTAATTAATATAAGACAAGGGACTGGGATTAGCTCATCATCACTAGCTATGCCAATATAATATACAAACCGAGTGCACACTCCAACTCATTCTCATCGTAAATACAATTGACATAAGAATCGCATCGGAATATAGTGTGAATGCATTTGTTTTGGTCGCACAGAAAGTAATTCTTTGGACACTTCTCGTCGTCTTTTATTTCTGTACGAAAAATATGTAATAAATATTTTATTTATTATGTGAGTCCACATCTCAAATTAGGCAAAACAAGTGGAATCGGAAGCATATAAATAGTGTGAACACAGGATATAGTGAATGCAAAAACCAAAAAAAAATCTCTAATGTGTATATGTGTCAGTACACATGCACCAGAATATTCTGTGTAAAGTTCATTTAATAAAAAAATATTGAATGTATATAGTGTGATACTTTGATATATGAAAAAGTATTGTGCGTATAAACACTGTGTTTACCATATTTTTGAATGATATATCTTTAAGGCATAGATTGATATCAAGGTATAAATTGTTTACCAAAAACTATAAAATACTGAATATATTAACAGTAATATAGAAGGAGTATCTACTGTATTGTATATAATATTCGCTATAAGCGTGGGTTAACTCTTTTTTCATATATGATTATTCAAGTGACAAACATAACCAAACAGACAAATTTGGACAAACATTACGATATGACATACAATTTAATTGCTACAAACTTATATGCCATATAAAATAGTGTGAACGTATATCACATTTCATTTTGGTATTAGTTTTCTTGATTTTGACATAAATTTCACTTCAATAGTGAGTTAATTGAAACTCGAAAAACTAAATTACACTAAAAGTCTCCCAATAGCTGTTGTATGACATCTACTGAATTGATGTCAAAATACAGTGTTTGACGATAAAAACTAAAATAACATTTCATTTATCATCTTAACTGACAGAACATTGAAATGCATGTACAAAGAGTGCATAGAGATGTATTTTTAGCAGGGTCATTCTTAAAAACTCATTAAAAATGTTTTGTATACTGTACAGAGTTTCAAATAGTTTTTCTAGTGTGTTGTCAAGCGTTTTTGTGTAATAGGTTTTTCATATTTATATAATAATGTTCAACTGATAAATGATTGATAACTTGATGTCAGGGTACTTTGTTTTTACAGAACAAAAAACTCTGCAGTTTAAGCATAAAATAGACTATTTTTGTTAGTCGTAAGTAATTGAATTATAATTTGTTATGCCTTTTAGACTCACTGTTTAAGACTGAAACACTTGACTTAATGGACTGTACACTGGATTCTCATTACTTATTAATCAATTAGATGTTTGTCCCAAAATAACTTATTTGAAAATCAATGTCTACTCTAGTATTTAGTATATGCATTATTAATGCACATAATTCTACACTTATATTGGCAATGCCAAAAACTAAATTGCCTAGTTTATACTGAATTGTATCTTGTAATGCATGGTGAATTATTATAAATATCCCAGAACAAACAATTTTTAAATTTTAAATAAGGAATCCCCTGATGTTTGAAGCAAACAAATAAGACAATAATTTATGAAGATTTTAACATGATTTTCATTAACATAAAAAACTAATTCCTTAAAGATTGAGGCAGTTGTTTTCATACCACCTAATATAAGTTCAGTTACTTGAGAATATATTTAATAAACTAGCTATAAATACACTTCTGATACATCAAATTAATGGAAAATAAAGTGCTTAAAATACAAGTGTCAATGTTAACAGTTAACATGTTATAATTTTTGTTTTTACTCTCTCTCTCTCTCTCTCTCTCTCTCTCTCTCTCTGCACTCCCGGATATAATGAACAGATGGATGCATAGCAAAAAAATATACAAAACATTTGCGTTAATTAGTGTGAATTACTTTTGTGTGATAAAAAAAATATTAGACACAAATTCTCTCTCTCTGTTTTATACTGACAAATGAGCTTATATTAATCACACACCTTTATAAGCAGTAATGACCAGGTACATGTCATCGCCCAACCCATTGAAGTCAATATTCACGCGCCGTTTATCATTCAATTCAGTGATTGTAATGGTGTTACGACTGTCCAGATTGTGGCTCTGGTAGGCCTCGATTACGTGTTTAGTGTTTATATTGATTTTATGACTACTCGTCGACCTAATGGACACTTTACACGACTTTATCTCACGACTCGAATTGTTTTTCATAAGTTTTATAATTAACGAACTATTATGCGGTTCGGAGCCCACGCTAACTGTCCCGTCACATATATCCTCGGCATAGTCTACAATTGATCATATGTTAAATAATATAGTAATATACATATTTTTAAAAATTATCCATGTACTTACATATGGGGTAGTCTAGTTTTTGTGATGAACAACACTGTATGCCAATTAGACATAAGAATGCATTTATAATGAATTGAATATACATATTGTACGGTTATATACACGCTATAATTACTGACAATTGATATGAACTTGATGTGTGAATATGGGTAATTGAAATAATACTTGTTATCGCTAATTAATAATAATTTAATTAAAATTGATGCCAATTCACGACATTATTATTTGAGTCTTTAATTGTGTTTAGCGTTGAGCTCACAATACAATTGAATGGCACTTATCTGTCGACTAAATGCGTTTAAACCTGTTTTTCCATTAACTCGTTATCAATAAATATAACGATAAGAAAGTCTAAATATCAATACCATTATAAACACAACTGTATTTCGTGTCGACATTTTTATCGAGAAAACTTTTCGACGTGCGACAAGTGCTGAGTTATTAATAATACCTTGATCAAATACGCTAGGCAATTGTTGTCAACGAGTCAATTAAAATAGTTATCGATTTTATTGTATGATAGCTAAAATTGAATTTGTCATAAATGGTTACTATAATTATATTTTGATTTAATGGCCATCCGTTTAAAGGTTTTTTGTTTGTTAAATCAAATTTCAAAACTTTTAAAATAACACTAAGTTATAATTAAGATTTTAACTGTTTTAATTTTAAAACTTAAGGTATACTGTAATGTTTAATACTTAGCTAGAATTTTGAAAAACATATTGAAAAAGAGTTTACGTGCAATTTCAATCAAATATCTAAATTTGAATTTAAATTACGGCTTATTTTGCATAAATAAACAATTATGATATATATTCACACATGTTTTACTATTAATTTGTATTCAAAGTTCATAAAACATTAATCAGCATTGAATGCAAAATAATTTAGTTTGAATTATTGGTTAAAAAAATATCATGATCATGACGTGAAATGTATTTGAAAATAACATTTTCTAATATAGACCATTTTACCTGTAAATAAATATAGACAACAATTTTCAAAATAATAGATTTATTCCAAATATTTATTAACTTTTGCATTTAAAAAATATAAGAATATTGAAAATATTATTTAACAATCGATGGGATTTGCATATGAAGTGTAAGAATTGAGCAAGAAATGAAAACAAAAACTGAAAACTTTGCAAACAATTAGTTACCATTTTTATTACATTTGCAAATAATAATTATAGTAATGATATGGCAATGGATTACAAAACTTCACGCTTTAATGAAGTCTGCATTTCACACACAAATAGTGAATAAATTGTGAAAATCAAAGCACAATATGTATTGACAAGAATTATACAGAAATAAAAACTATATATTTATATAAATATCAGTCTTAAAAACACTTGGTATGACCTAACAAGCAGTCGGTAGTCAATGAGTCTGACAGACAAATTAAAACACTATTTAAAAGTATTGTGTATTTTTTCATAAAAACTACTTTTAAATATAAATATCACAGAAAATAGCATTTGTATTGTCGTTAATTGGCATCCAATGCCTTGTTATCGATGCCATTCTCAAGTGGCGGTGCGTTTGGATCGGTGGTCATAATCTTATTGATGTCCACCTATTCATACGAGACAACGAAAAAACACACATAAAGTCATTGAACAAACATTAATTAAATTCAAAATTCAAAATCACTTTCTATACAATCTAGAGGTAAGTCATAAATCTTGAACTATAAAACTCAAAGTCTTAAAGTTTTTTGTTGCTATTGTTTAGTATATTATTCTTAGGCACGACTTTTCCTTATACTACTGAATAAACTTCAGTATAAATATTGTTTGAATAGAAAAAACACTCACTTTTCATAACTCACTATTTAAATAGCAATTACGAGTGCAATTAAATAGTATATTAAGGCTTATAAGGCATAATTACCTGTGAATTAGCAGTGCTTTTATCGGTGTAGACAACACTTCCGGACTCCTTCTTAGCGGTGTGTTTGAGATAATTATTATAAAACGGAAACAAAAGCGAAGTCAACACCAATACAAAGCCGATGAATAGCATTGAAGTGGAGGAAATGGATGAGATTAGTGTCGGCTGTTTGAGAACCCACTGAATGCGCTGAGACATGTCGGCGCTCACGTTGACGCCCAACTCCTGCCAGAACACGGGAAACACAATTTCGGGCACATTTCGGTACCGGAACAGACCCGGGGGCTTATTGATGAACACGTTGATCTGTATGCGCCCGGCGCTGCCCATACTGGTGCCCGTGTGGGGCTCCACGTCCAAGTAAAACGAGTGCTTCCGGGGGTCGGGCTTCAAGCCGGACACACCGCGCGTGTAGATGGGGTCGCCGTTCAGAAAGTGCGGGTACGACATGAGTACCGGCGCGCCGTACTTACAGGCGCTCATATCAAACACTCCCGACACGAACCGTATCTTTCGTTGCTTCGAGAAGTTTGTTTGACTCCGACCTATACCTAGGATGGAGGGGTTGGGCGCCGCCGGCAGTCGACTGACGTAGCAGGCGTTGGGCGGGTAGTCGTCGGCGTTCTTGAATAGGCTATCGTCGGGTACGTACCGGTAGACAGTGACCCCCTTCTTCACGTGCTCGGTCTTGAAGTTGAGTTTCCAGCGCCGGCAGAAGTCCGGGTGAAATAAGTACAGACTCTTTGAGGTGTCGCCGATGGGCGGAAACATCTGGGCGTTGGTGGTGTCCGCCAGCGAATTGCATAGACTATTGTTGCGCCAGTGGTCCAGATGTGACTGGCCTTTGTAATTGTCGATGAGGTTGAGCTGATCCATGCCATCCCTACCCGTGTGCACAGTGAACATACCCTCGTCGGTGTCGTTCCTGTTGTATAACCAGCCAAACCTCCCGTTATTATTGCTCGGGATCTTGGGGTTCAACATCGGCCCGAAAGTGGTCAGTACGTCGGGGTAGCCCTCGAAGAGTAGCTGTTTGACGGAGCGTTTGATGAAAAAGCCTTCGGTGACGGCGTCTAACGCCAGCCCCACCACAATCCTGACAGCTGTCGGCGCGTTCTGGAGTAGACTCAGAGTGACCGCGAGCGGCCCGTTCAGGGACGTGATCACGTCGGCGTCGCTACCGGCGCTCATTTGTGGCACAAAGTGATAGGTCTTCTTCTCCCTGTAGGATACCGTTCCGTTGTCGTGGTATACCAGATGAGTCTTTGTCCATTTGGAACGGTAGACGTATGGGCCCATCTCCACGAGCACCGGTTTCGAGCCCAGCCTCTCGATGTCGGCGCCGTTGGTTACGTTGAAGAAGTAAAACTTTTGATATATGGGTAGTGGGATGTCCTTCCAGAGCTTATAGGCCTCTGTGTTTGGCTCTAACTGTAATTGCTGTGAGAATACAGAATTGTTGTTAGTCGTAAGTAATTGAATTATAATTTGTTATGCCTTTTAGACTCACTGTTTAAGACTGAAACACTTGACTTAATGGACTGTACACTGGATTCTCATTACTTATTAATCAATTAGATGTTTGTCTCAAAATAACTTATTTGAAAATCAATGTCTACTCTAGTATTTAGTATATGCATTATTAATGCACATAATTCTACACTTATATATTAGGCAATGCCAAAAACTAAATTGCCTAGTTTATACTGACTTGTATCTTGTAATGCATGGTGAATTATTATGAATATTCCAGAACAAACAATTTTTAAATTTTAAATAAGGAATCCCCCTGATGTTTGAAGTAAACAAATAAGGCAATCATTTATGAAGATTTGAACATTATTTTCATTAACATAGAAAACTAATTCCTTAAAGATTGAGGCAGTTGTTTTCATACCACCTAATATAAGTTCAGTTACTTGAGAATATATTTAATAAACTGGCTATAAATACACTTCTGATACATGAAATTAATGGAAAATAAAGTGCTTAAAATACAAGTGTCAATGTTAACAGTTAACATGTTATAATTTTTGTTTTTATTCTCTCTCTCTCTCTCTCTCTCTCTCTCTCTCTGTTTTATACTGAATATAAGCTTATACATCTGTATTAATCACACACCTTTATAAGCAGTAATGACCAGGTACATGTCATCGCCCAACCCATTGAAGTCAATATTGACGCGCCGTTTATCATTCAATTCAGTGATTGTAATGGTGTTACGACTGTCCAGATTGTGGCTCTGGTAGGCCTCGATTACGTGTTTAGTGTTTATATTGATTTTATGACTACTCGTCGATCTAACGGACACTTTACACGACTTTATCTCACGACTCGAATTGTTTTTCATAAGTTTTATAATTAACGAACTGTTATGCGGTTCGGAGCCCACGCTAACTGTCCCGTCACATATATCCTCAGCATAGTCTACAATTGATTATATGTTAAATAATATAGTAATATTATACATATTAAAAAATTATCCATGTACTTACATATGGGATAGTCTAGTTTTTGTGATGAACAACACTGTATGCCAATTAGACATAAGAATGCATTTATAATGAATTTAATATACATATTGTACGGTTATATACACGCTATAATTACTGACAATTCATATGAACTTGATAATACTTGTTATCGCTAATGAATTATAATTTAATTAAAATTCATCGCCAATTCACGACATTATTATTTGACTCTTTAATTGTGTTTAGCGTTGAGCTCACAATACAATTGAATGGCACTTATCTGTCGACTAAATGCGTTTAAACCTGTTTTTCCATTAACTCGTTATCAATAAATATAACGATAAGAAAGTCTAAATATCAATACCATTACAAACACAACTGTATTTCGTGTCGACATTTTTATCGAGAAAACTTTTCCACGTGCGACAAGTGCTCAGTTATTAATTATACCTTGATCAAATACGCTAGGCAATTGTTGTCAACGAGTCAATTAAAATAGTTATCGATTTTATTGTATGATAGCTAAAATTGAATGTGTCATAAATGGTTACTATAATTATGTTTTCATTTAATGGCCATCTGTTTAAAGGCTTTTTGTTTGTTAAATAAAATTTCAAAACTTTTAAAATAACACTAAGTTATAAATTATAACTTATAATTAAGATTTTAAATGTTTTTATTTTAAAACTTAAGGTATACTGTAATGTTTATTACTTACGAGCTAGAATTTTGAAAAACATATTGAAAAAGAGTTTACGTGCAATTTCAATCAAATATCTACAATTTGAATTTAAATTACCGCTTATTTTGCATAAATAAACAATTATGATTTATATTCACACATATTTTACTATTAATTTGTATTCAAAGTCCATAAAACATTAATCAGCATTGAATGCAAAATAATTTAGTTTGAATTATTGGTTAAGAAAATATCATGATCATGACCTGAAATGTATTTGAAAATAACATTTTCTTATATAGACCATTTTACCTGTAAATAAATATAGACAACAATTTTCAATATAATAGATTTATTCAAAATATTTATTAACTTTTGCATTTAAAAAATATAAGAATATTGAAAATATTATTTAACAATCGATGGGATTTGCATATGAAGTGTAAGAATTGAGCAAAAAATGAAAACAAAAACTGAAAACTTTGCAAACAATATGTTACCATTTTTATTACATTTGCAAATAATAATTATAGTAATGATATGGCAATGGATTACAATACTTCACGCTTTAATGAAGTCTGCATTTCACACACAAATAGTGAATAAATTGTGAAAATCAAAGCACAATATGTATTGACAAGAATTATACAGAAATAAAAACTATATATTTATATAAATATCAGTC